GGGCAAGCGGGCAGGAGGCTCACCTGATGTTATGTGATACCGCTGCCCATGGACACTCTCAATGCCAGAGGGCTCGTGAGTGCGTTGTCGGCCTTTTAAGAATTGGTACGCTCTATTCTTGAAGCTTCATTCCAGTTACACACGACGCGTCATACGTCAATTAAGAGAATCACCCTACTGAACTATTTATTCTACATTGAACACACGCAACAATAACATACTAATTTAAATATACTACGGATTGGCAAAACCTTTTCGAAGGCATTTAAACTGTGCCATAAATCCCTTGATTTACATCCCACACTTAGATAATTACGACGCGAGAAAAGATTCCAGGGCTCATTACATTAATGGTCCGCACGTGGCCGAATCCCTTCACAGAAGCCGATTTAGCCAAATTATTTATTAATGGGACCTTTGAACGCTGTCCGCAAGTTCATTTTCAAACGGATTTTTGGTTAGCTTTCACAAGACATATAGGTTGCCTTCTATTCTATTCTTTATGTTTATGTTTCTTATATTTCTTAATAATTAAGCTTTGTTATGTGAATGTATGATTTAAAATTATAGAGATACACATGTTATTCTTAATACTGATGAATTGTCAAACTTATTTGTACTGAATTTTATTTAATTATTTTTAAGTCACTATTATATTTTTTACTTTAACTTTTAGTAAATTGCAATTCCCCTGTTGCTTTATTTTAGCGATAGTTTATACTCCACAAATATTTAATATAATATTATCGATCTTGTGACATTTTTAATTCCCCTAAACGTACTTAAAAGACCATAGACCAAAAAGATGTCCATATTCTAAGTGTGTCTAAAAGGCTTTTTAAAGGTTTTATTCGTTTATTAAACAATTCTTAACTTATAAAGACTGTCTATCAACATTATTTCATCTTCACATTTGGCAGGCTACGTAATGTATTTAATATAGTAATTAATGAAAAAGGATTTAATATCAACAAATGATAGCCATTTACGCGAAGATTGAGCTGTGAGAAGCGGATGTAGGATGTTGCCAAGGCCGTGCGATTTTAATGTCGTCGTTTTGTCGCGGAACAACATGTGCGCGCAACATTATAACAGTTATGCCGGACTGAAAGTTGTACATTTATTATATTATTATTATGTAAGAAATCACGGTGTTTAAGCAGGTTCCTTTAGTACCTTCCTTAAACACCTCAACCACAAGGCACTTATCACCCCTTACTAGTCTAAACTATCATTAGCACGGCTATATTAATTTTATTATTATTATTAGTCCATATTACACTTATTATATATGTTAATAACGGTGTACCGTGTAACTCAGCTACTTAATTATATAAAAATCCAACTTTTTTTTGTTGAATAATCGGAATTTATATAATTCAGTATTAAATGCCGTAAGTAACACTAAATGATCTAATTTAAGAAATATAATTTAAATATAGAATCATGTCTCTGAACTTTCGATTTGATAAATCGCACAATCGTTTTTTTTTCAGTTTTGTAAATGTTCTCTTCTTTATGAAGTATGTTTCGTCTTTATGACTATTTTATTAAAACAAATCAATGAAAAGCGGAAAGAATACAAGGTCTAGTAGTAATAGAAATAACAGATTTCAAAGCGCTTTTAGGATAAAACTAAATCATCGTGGAATAGGAGACGCGTGCGCGGTAATTCATTTAGGGGTGCCGTGCGCAGAGCTGAATGTGAACAAATTGGATTTCCATTCTGATGATGGATGACGACAGGCAAATCAGAGGTCAATACATTATTAAGTAAAATACTCTATTGAGCAGTATTGGCCTAATGGTTTCAACGTGCGACTTATCATCGTGTGCGCATTTAACATTCGTTTGTACGGTGAAGCAAAACATCGTGAGGAAACCGGCATGTAAGACCAAAAAAGTCGACGGTGTATGTGCAGACAAAAAAGGTTGATCATCTACTTGGCTATAAGAAATGATCACGGAAACAAAAATTTGTGGCCCAGACCTAACAGTATAAAGTACTCTATTACTGCTACGTGTACACTATCAAAATTCATCATCAACAAAGGCACGATCTTAGAGTTGAGAATTCTACTCGCTATGAAGCCCGTTACTTTTCTTTTTGCTCAGATATTTATACCTCTAGGATATTTACTGCCCTAAAAACCAATTAAAAACATCCACTCTCTATGGAGGTAAGCAATCCCATTAAAAATCAATGTACCTATACAGTGGCACAACGAGAAATAACGTACAAACTCAATAATACGGTGTTCGATCAGCCAAATCCGATTATGTACGGGATCAGATGTCTCGTACAGAAATTATTAGCAATCCCCGATTACACTCTTATATAATATTAATTGTATCAGATTTTATTTTTGCATTTTGTATCTAATAGACATGAAGAATTCTATTAATATACAATTATATCATCATGCAGTTACTACACTATTGATTTTCTCAAATAGCTCTCGCTAATAAACAGATTTTTTTAAAGACATTGCAGACTTTACATATAATATGAAGTAATGATATACCATGACAGATTAACGTATTTATCAGTTACAATTATTTATTATGAATTTCCCCAGTCATTGTGTATTATTTACGCAATTATATTACGCGTACTAAGATTTATTATATATTAAAGACTTCTTTAGCGGAATAAATTGGCCTTAAGCACACTTGTATTGTATTTATTTTTAATGCAAAACATTACCCACACTACACTATAAAAAATTATTGGTCACGTCTAGAATTGATAATATCTACTTTCATTTCAGGTTCTATGCATAAAATAGAAAGTTTCTTCACGTGATTCCGTTAATAACATATTAGTATCAATACAGATATTCATTAAACTATTAACACAAAGTAAAAACAGATACGGCGATGACAAGTTGGTGGGCGGACGTACCTGTGTCTCAGAAGGGTATGAAAGAAGTAATAAAGCTATCAAATAATTGTTTAATACCTTCAATTTATTGGTAGTTTATTCGTTAGATTCCGGTACAAACTGTTAGATACGTCGAACAATATAAATTAAGTGATATTGAGGGTAAGTGCGGATCACCATTTTACTTGAGGGTTGCTTGCGTCATTACTATTGAATACATTTTAGTTATTACAAAATATTTATAATCGTAAATTGATGTGCCATTGAAAACTTTAGTTAAAATCCACTTCTTGATTTTCAAAGACGATTAAAAAGAAGACAACGGCACCAAATCGACCAAATGTTTCAGAGATTCAAAAATAAAACAAGGTATTTTGCACTTCTCACCTATAATTTTAGTTAATATTTTTTCTATAACAATAGCTTATAAGGTAAGTTATCAATTAAAATATTAGTTTTTCAAAACCCTACTACTAAATAAAGTATAGGTATTATTTATGAAATTCATAGTAGGTACATTGAAAGCTTAAATTTGTAATACAATAAAATTTAAATCAATATTGGAATAAACAAATGAGTTTGACAGGGATATGAAGACACCGCAAATATACCGCAAGCATAAAGCGTACCTTCTTAAATTTTGCGGTATGACAAAATTTAAGAATGTACGCCAAGTTCTAGAACTAAATTCGACAGGTTCGTTCTTTATTTCGTATCAATAATCAAAACTAAGACTAAGTCCACGTAAAATCTTTTGTCATACAAAACAAGAAGCTTAGGCGTAGCCGACTTCAATTAAAGTTGATTACATGTTCAAAGTCTTCCGAGGCGCGATAAAAAAGCAACACCCTCTCATCGGGGAAATTGAAAATTAAAATTTCACCATTTTCCTTTGAACACACCGTACTTTGACCAATCAGAATGGCATTCTTTTTGACATTTTTTCACTATTCGAAGATAATTTAGGAACTAAAGGTTTTTGAGTCAATGAAAATTTAAGTTTTAGTTTTTATTTGAGTCATACTATCGCTTATATTATTTTAACTATAATTTATAAGTATATTATTCAGGCACCTTTACCTATAGTTAAAATTATTATTTTAATATACCAATCACGTTTAGTTTTTCTTTATTTACGGCCGCTCATTAACTCGGACAATAAATCCTTTTTTGATTATTAAAAGTCATGTTTTATAATATATAATTCAGACAAATTTTCAAAGCTATATGCTATATTAAATCTACCTTCAAATAAATATTTGTATATTACATACAAGAGAATACAGCATGGTCACCGTCTTTATTGTCATCGCTAGGCTAAACAATTCTATAATACGAAATAAATAATATAGTAATTTGCATATAAATTGTGTAGTTGTGGCTCTCGTAAATAAAATATATTACAAAGTTAAAGTTGTATGTGGCCGCACATACCGCTTCCTGACCGCAGAGCTACGCTGATTTTCAGCAGAGCTTTTCTAACTTCCTTATTGGTTGTTATTCTAACCGACAACAGTTTAAAAGCCTCAATAATGTTATATTATAATATCATAGAATACTCCCTTATTTTAATAAACTATAGAAAAATAACACTTGTAGTTTTAACACTTTAAAGTTAATTTAAGGATAAAGAATTTGGTAAGAAAAGCGTTACAGGTTTCCTATGTGTAGATTTTAATGTTTTATTCATAGCTTAAACTAAAATACATTTAAGTACTTAGGCTACTAGTGCATACTAGATACACGCTAAAAAGATCTAATCAATGTTAATGTAAATTATATAATATGTATCTACATAAATATATTTTTTTATGTAACAGGGGGCAAACGGGCAAGAGGCTCATCTCATATTAAGTGATACCTATCTATCGACATGTCCGGTATTCACAATATTTTGTCCATGGGTCCTTGGGTGTCCGTTGAATTAGGGACAAAAAGTTTTGACTTTTAAGCATCAAAAGGTCATTTTAAGCTATCAAATTGGCACTTTGTTGTATTAGGTACCAATATATGATAAAATATAGCATGGTCTTTAATAACCACATTCTAAATTTGGGTAAACAGAATTATTCGTTGGTAAGTCTTCCTTATTTACTTCTTCGAGATAAAAGCTTACCTTTCGGGGTGACAACTCTGAAAGCGCTGTTCGAGATTGGCTTCGGCGATTCATCCCTTAGCGGCGATCCGTTTCGCACCATGGAAAAGTCCAAAGGCATCGGTATCATAGCACTTACTTCCATATTAAACGTCAAAACATAACCGACACAATGTTACTAACGTACGTGCGACGCGCGCGGACCGCGGGTATGTATTAAAGTTCCCTCACAATGCTGAGTAGAGTCAACTCTATCATGTTAATAAGGTTGAAAATGTATACTTTTTGTATGGGGTTTTGGATCTTATCAGCCGTTGTTGGGCGTGGTAGATTAGGCCCCGCCCCGCTCCCCGCCGCCATACGCGTGACAATCACTTTGTATAGGTAACACAATAATATGATTCCTGATAGATTTTATTGTTCCAACGATGCGCGAGAAATTTTCATATGTCTTGTGTTAGGTTTTTTGTTGATTATGGAAGGGATTATACTGTATCGGTGACGCGATGATACATAATACCATTTTCATGATTGTGATATGAATACGGTTATATAATTGATTATTTTATATTGAATACATATTTATACTTTAAATCATGTGATATTTATCATTGCTCGAAGTTTTATTGATAGTTAATTACTTAAAGTAAGTAACACAGATATTATATTATTAAGGATTATATCATTTAAAACAAAACTGTTTTGTTACCAGATAAAAAAACTTATTTCCGCTGACTTTGTAAATAGGCCTTTCTTTATACGTAACTTATAAATTATATATAGCTTATTATTTATTTAATTTTATATATGTGGCGTGTAGTGTGGAGTAAAAGTATAACGATATTATCAAAATTTCGTAGATAATTGATCTATGAATTAAATCGCTTTCTACGTTCCTAGTACTAGTTATCAAACAAAAGTTTTTAACTATATATATATCTTACAGACACCACAAACTACTTCAGTTATTGTTTGTACTTATTCAAAAATTTAAGATTTATCTATAAGTCCACATTGGACACTCACAAATATATTATTTAAATATACAGTATTTTTTAATATCACCTTCATTAATAATTTTTGCCTACTCTGTCTCATTTTTCAAAAACTAATTACATCTCTACGCAATGATAAAGCAAAGCCGATGTATGATATTTTTATTCATTTCAAAATGAATTTTCCTCAAACGACTGTTAACAATTATGAACTTTGGTTTTGTTGTAATAAAAGTTATATTTGTGAAACATTGGTCTTAAAAATGGGGATGGGAAAAGCGTAATTTTTACAGAGGAATAATCCCGGTATAATCTAGCCCTGAATCCCATTAGTGAGCCCCTTGATTGCAGCCGGGAACGGCACAAAAATCGAGGTTCGTATGGAAATAAAAATGTAATATGCCTGATTTATATTGCATGCGAAATAAAATAATCTTGTCTAAAACTGATAACTTTTACGATATGCAGCTTACCCCACCACCTACGGCTGATAATACAATAAATACTTCAAAATTTCTGAAAATGGAAGAAGTCTATTGAGTTTTTTCTTTTTTTGTGATGTAATCCTGAAATATTTAACAATTTTAGCTCATATTTCTTTACCGTGAATGAAACTCTAAGCCCTATTCGTTCGGGTTTTTAATAGAACATGAATATCTCCTGAAGTTGTCACTCACAATGTTAGAGTTTATGGTATGCTTTTCTCCTGGAGAACTCTAAGTCGAATTTGTTCGGAAATACTTCAAGGCGCAGCTGGATCTGGTGCTGGTGAAAAGCACCTTAAGCTCTGGAACGACGGAAATTAAGGTGATATAGGTAGGTAGATGGAATATCATACCTATATGGGTAAACTATATTCACTCTGACCTACGCAAGCTGTATTAAAGCGTAAAAGTCACTCAAGTACACTCTCTTATCTGATAATTTTGGTCTTTTTGAATGGACAATATAGAATAGAATCAAAGATATAATAAAATAAAAAATATTTTTTTCAGGTCTGGGTGTAAGATTTCTGTATCTGTTTCATGATCATTTCTGAATCAAGCAGGCACGTATGTGATCACCCTCCTGTGCCTGACATACGCCGTCGACGTCGTTCGAGCGAATGTTAAAAGCGCACATAGATAGAAAGTCCATTGATGCACAGCTGGAGATGGAGCCTTCGACCTCAGGTATGAGAGTCAAACGCTGATGCCACTAGGCCAACACTGCTTAAAGATATACAACCTACAGTACGAGGTGCTATCCTACTCCACCTCCTAAACATGCTAACCATGGGTGTGTGCTTTGGACTTTGAAAATAATCTGGCAAAGCGTGTATCGTATAATCAAGACTTTTATTCAAATCTTATACAATCAATATTCAAAGCCAAGTCTCGCTAGGGGAAAATTAAATTCCACCTTATAGTAACGTTAAAATTTAATATAAAGCGTCGGTAATATAAAATAATCGCCTCGGCACAGTATCCCTTATTAATTTAAGCATTTTATCTCAGGTCGTTAGTAAGCGAAGTGGTTATGAGTAGAGTGAAATTTTGTTGTAATAAAGAGAAAAGGTTGTTCTATGTAATAGCCTGTTTCAAATTCTTGGTTGTGTGTAAATATGTAATTTTATATTATTATATATTTTTTTATGTTTTATGAGACAAACGGGCAGGAGGCTCATCGCCGCTCATGGACACTCACATTAACAGAAGGCTCGCAAGTGCGTTGCCGGCCTTTTAAGAATTGGTACGCTCTTTTCTTGAAGGAGGCTTTTTACTTTGATAATTTAACGCAAGATGTAAGGTAAAAATTCCGCACAAATGACGATATTAAAGTATTGCTTAACTTTGCCTAAATCATAGAATTAAAATGATAATTTAATAATCTTTTTTATATTCCATGGCACAGAGGCAACATTGTCGAGGATAAATTTAGCTCGGCTAGTATTTTGTTCGCCACTTTAATTATGCCGGGTTAATTAATACAAAACATTAAGTATCAATCCACGAGATTAGGGGTTTTATAAGCGTTAGCGATTTTTGCATATTATTGCATTTCACGACTGTCAGATAGCGCTATTCGTCACATAAAGTCCATCATAAGCTATGAGTCCGATGAATGTCAAATAGCACAATTTATCTTCCAAATAATTTATGTGTTGCATAGCTATTTGGTAGTTTATACATACATTGTAAAACAGACCCTTAATGTTACTTTTTGACATTATTTAATAACTTTAGCCGGTTGCCTTATTGGCCTTGGCTTGAAATGTAATTTATTGTATACACACCTATATTTAATTATATATTGTCATGAAATGACCGACGAGCCATATGTATATTATATATGAGTGTCTTTAAATATTGATTTAAAATAAAAACATTAATTGAAATATTATAAATATGATGTTTACAAGTTTAAAGCACTTATAAACAATACGTAATACGTCTTCTGTTTACGTGTAATTTTAAGTGAGACTTTTACAGTGCCTCGCAGACCAAACGACAGCTATAAAGCTCTAGATAGATAGAGAGAACTTAACCTAAGTTATGTAAAAAATGGTATACGGTCATATCCGTTAAGGTTTATTTGAATTTGGAACAAATAATATTTTCCTAGCCCCACAGGTATTCTAAACGTTTAACTAGAAGCAGGTAGCCATCAAAAATCATTTGAAGTTCGCACAGCGGCGGAATTACCTCGCTCAATGTTTACTTTTAATTCAAAATTTTATTCAAACGCCTTTCATGTTACGTTTTCCGGCTTTTGTTTTTCCTTTGATCAAACAGAATCGTTTGTCACAGGAACAGAGCCTAGATGGAGTTTCGAATGTTTTTACGGTTAGGGTACTTTGAATAATTAGCCAATTCATATCTTAAACAAAATTCGTACAGAGATTCATATGGATTTATCTAATCGTATTATGATATACTATATCTAGTAAAGTTATATGAATTATATCGATATCATATGGAAAAATAGTCTTCCTACTGAGTGTTAAAAGTTCTTTACTAAGGGATTCATATCTATGTTTTCGTACCATTGGCCGAAAATTACATATTATTTTTAACATAGTAGTGTGTGTATGAGTACATGTATTAAATAAATAAAAAATAGCCTTTATTTCAGTAGGTACTATAATAAGGCATACATTAGGTTAATGTTATTTTTGTATTTCCTATTAGTACTCGAGCTCCGATGGAGTGAAGCCATTTGTCTCTCCAAACTCTTTCATTTGTCTCTGTCTCTCATCTTTGCTTCTATTTTCAAATCTTCTCTTATTCATCTCTTCATCATCATCTTCTTTTATTTCATCTTCCCAGGTTTCTGGTGAGCATTCTCTCTTTTTTCTTCCCACTGGGCCATTCCAAGTAAGGGTCTTACTTGACCCAACTGCCATCACACACGCGGCCAATGTGACCAGCCCATTTCCACTTTAACTTTTTGAGTGTTTTACGATGTCTGTTATTTTTGGAAGGTTTCGTATTAATATTAAAGGAGTGTTTATGTATAAATAAAAATGTGTTTATTCATTTAACAACAATTCATCATAATGGGTAAGATTGTATAAGAATATTATTATTAACAAGTTTTACCTAACCCGGGAATTGAAGATTTATACGCCGTATGCAGTCGGATTCTATACTAGAATTAATAATTTCAAATAAAGTCACTGCATTGAAATGTGCCGGATAATATATCATTTAAATTATTATTCAAATAAAACTTTATACCTCGGAATAAAATCGTAACGATTCTGAAAATGTCCATGACTAAACCCTGCGGTATAAACCGGTTAAAACAAATAGCTTTGAACAATTTGCATACAAATGTGACAAACTGGAATTTTACAACCCGACCCTAATTAGTGGCTTCATAGCTGAAGGTTTAAAATATACCTTATCCTGCCTATAAGAAAACTCTCTTATAAAGTCATTGAATTCTTTAGGACTAAAATAACTTTAGTTATAAATTTGCTAACATGATAGAGTGGCGGAGTATAAGTGTGTTGGCATAGTGGCTAAAGCATGCGACCCTCATCCTTGAGTTCGAATCATGGCTGTAAAATGGAATTTTCTATGCGCATTTGCTTTTACTCTAAAGGCAAACATCGCGAGGAAACCGGCATCTTAAACCTTAAAATCGATTACATTTGTCAGACACG